GTATTCAAAGATAGCAGCGAAAGTTCTACAATCAGGATTCTATTGGCCCTCACTATTTAAGGATGTTCATAAATATGTAAAACACTGTTATCGATGCCAATGTATAGAGACTATCTCCAAAAGGCATGAGATGCCTTTGAATTCAATTCTTGAAGAGGAACTCTTCGATGTTTGGGGGATAGATTTTATGGGACCCTTTCCATCATCTCACAACAATCAGTACGAAGAAGTGGAACTCTTCGATGTTTGGGCATATATTTTACGGGACCATTCTTATCCTCTTACAACAATCAGTAAATGGTGGTAACAGTTGATTATATATCAAAATGGGTAAAAGTAGTAGCAACACCAACTAATGATACTCGAGTGGTTGTTCATTTTCTAAAGAAAAACATATTCCCGTGCTTTGGCACCCTTGGAACCATTATTAATGATGGGGGTAAACACTTCTGTAACAGGCTTCAGGAGTCGGTATTGGCAAAATATGGGGTAAAAATCAAGTTGCTACACCTTATCATCCCCAAACAAGCGATTAGGTGGAAGTGTCAAACAAAGAGCTCAAGAGAATACAGGAGATGACCGTGAATGGCTCGAGAACTTATTGGTCAAGGAAACTTGATGATACAATGTGGGCATACCGGACTGTTTATAAAATACCAATCGACATGTCACCATATTGCCTTGTGTTTTGGAAAGCTTGCCACCTTTCAGTGGAGTTGGAGAATCGAGCGTATTAGGCAGTAAAGCAGCTAAACATCGACATGACAGCAGGTAGAGAAAAGAGGATGCTACAACTGAATGAATTAGATGGATTCTGGATGGATGCTTTTGAGAATGTAAAGCTTTATAAGAAACGGACAAAGAGACTGCATGATAAATACATCCAGACTCCAAGTCAAAAAGTACTGTTGTTCAATTCTAAGTTGAAACTTTTTCCTGGGAAACTGTGCTCCAGATGGTCTGGACCATTCACAATTGTCAAGTCTTTCCACATGAAGTAGTTGAAGTGAAAGGCAACTTCATGGTAAATGTGCAGCGTTTGAAAGCATATTGGGATGGGGAGTTTGATAAAGACAAGTCATTCACCATACTCCACAATCCGAAATGATCAAACTGCCAAGTCTAGCTAAAGACTATAAATTCAGCGCTTATTGAGAGACAACCCAATTTCCTAATCATTTTATTTATTTTGTTTTTTGTATTGCATTGCATGTAATTTTATTCTTGATTAATATGTTGCATTAGTTATAGGCACGTTTCAATTCAATTTGAGTGTCATCTTCATCATTGACATTTAGCCTAGTTAAATGAAAACATTAATTGAGTCAAAATGAGTTTTCTTTTTATTCTTTTAATTGTTTTCTTCCTCTCTTAATAGGTACCATGGATATTGATATTGGAAGGAGCTTAGCAAAGTACAAGTTGGGATAAATTGAAAAATAGTTTCTCATACATTCAACAGAAAAAATCGGGGATTACCTTCTTTTTCTTCCATGTCCCTTATATTCTTATTTTTACTTTATGACATTGAGGACAATTTTGGTTTGAAGTTTGGAGGTGGGAAAAACTTTTAGTTTTTACTTTTCTTGTGTTTGTTTTTCGTTATTACTTTAGTATATAATAGAAAAATACAAAAAAAAAAAATCAAAGAATTTGAAAATTTTCAACAAACAAAATAATAATAATAATAATAATATATTTTCTTGTTTTAGGTTGTTTGCTTGTGTGGGTTAAATAGTCTGGCCATCAATGATGATTAAATTTGAGATTTTGTGTTAATTTATAAACTGTGAATATGATGCATGCCAGATTAATTGAGACTTAACCTGGCAAAACTTGATATTATACGTGCACTAGAATTAAGTTGGATAATGTGATGCTATGAGTTGATTCATATAATTGATAAGTTGATATAGTTGGATATAGATGTTTTATCTAAACCATACTAAATTACTTATTCTTAGACCAAATTTAGCACAATTTGGGGTGATTTTGTTGTTGAGGAAGATACGGGTGTGGACATGATTCCATGTGTGAAATTGTATGGGTTATCTTAGATTAACGGGATAAAATTGGGTGAAAATCCTAATTTGGAGGTCCGATTGTTTAAATAGGTGTTTGATAAGGAGTATTGCACTGATCAATGCATAAATTTCTTTTAATGTGAAACTTTTCTTCGAAGCCCTTTTTGACTTGGGTTATTAAGTTTGTAAGAGTGCTTAAAATCTGGTGTCCTAAAGTCGTCTGACTTGGGAGTTATCGGCCTAAAGTCTGTTACATAAGTCATTTAGAAAACTTAAGGGAGAGAATGTAAAAAAAAAAAATACTTTGAAAAATCAGAAAAAGCAAGTGTATGAAAGGAAAAAAAAAAAAGTAATAAATGTCTTGGTTAAGCCACAAACACTTGTTTGATGGAATTTGACTTTTGATGAAAGATAATTAATCTAAAGCGTGTACTCTAAAGCGTGTCTGGGCGCACTAAGTATCATAATTCGGACCATTGGTAATAAAAAATTGGATCGTTGGGGCATTTTTTAATTGACAAAATCTGACAGCTTTGCAGTAGATAATCAGCCCATTTACACCCATTTCCCAATTTCACCCCTTTGCAGTAGACTTTGCACATGTGATGAGGATAACATGGTCTTTTTCTGTTCAAATTCTCTACAACACGTAAAATGGTTCAAGAAAGTGGGACCGTATGATTTGACCTAAAAATTGATTTTGGTTTGGGAGAATCTCTCCTCGACACAGTCCTAATTGAGTCTTGGAGGTCAAAGCAATAAAAGAATTGGAAAATCCTTGTTTGTTGATGTGTTGACTTACAATTAGTAGAATCCACCTGAACTAGATATGGTGATAATAGTAATGAAAAATTCAACATTAGATTACACACTGGGAAAAGAGTTAAAAAAGAACAGGTTTGGAGGTGTGTAAATCATACGAGATGTAAAAGGATGTATTTGACCACAAAGTGTCGGAAATTGAAACAACTTGTAAAGTCATGATTGTCTACTTAGTTCTTCACACACACGTCGATTTTGCATTATAAGAGTAGATATTGGTTTGGTATTATAACTATGAAGTGGTTTGTAAATTTAGTACTATCATTTTAGATGCTGAGATAAAAAAAACTAGATTGTCTAACCAAATAATTTTGCATGATTGTGTGTTTGTTGTTATTTAGGTTATTTGAGGACAAACAAATGTTTAAACTTGGGGGTATTTGATAAGTGTATTTTGTACATTTATTTGAGACATAAAATAACGATATTTGATAGTTTTTTTGACAAAATATATTCTAAATTGTTGTTTTTTATGTTTAATAGGTGAAACTTTATGAATGAAAAAGGAATTGAAGGAAAGATGCAAGACGTGACCAAAAATGGAAAAATCCAAGGTATATAGATTAAATTGGCATTGGTTGTACAATTAAGCGGATTCAAGGACTAACTTGCATTAATTGAAAGAATTGAGAACTTGGAAACAAACATTAATTTAATCAGGCATTGGAATTAATTGGCCTCTACTTGGACTTTGGTTGTATTAAAAATTTAGGTTATATATATACACACGCAGCAAGAAAAAAAAAGAAAAAAAGAAGAGAGAAAGGCTGAAGCAATAAAAGAAGGCAAAGGGCAATTGCTGANGAGAATTAATTCCAAATTTGTTCACATTTCGTCAATTTTCGGTGATGTCGTTCCACTTTTATTTGTTTAATTTCGACATTATGTTAATTTAGATTTTTACATTGCTAGATGAACCCTTATTATGAGATTTTTGGTTTAAATAATAAGTTTGACGTTAATTTGTTTGAATTTTTGGAAATTTAATATGGTTTAGCCTACTTTTCAATTAATTGACCATTAGTTGAGTTGTTTGTGGATATTATTGTCATAGATAATAGGATCGTTAGCACGTAGTAATAAGTATTGTGAGATTCAATAGAGGATAGAGATATACATTTATGTTTCACGTGATTTTTAAATATTCTAGCTCGTTTAATACTTTCTTATATGTTGGTATTTTTTATAGAGATATAGAAATGTTACATAAATGATTAGATTTAATTGCTATCGAGAGAAGTTTTTAAATAAATTTGGAAGTTTGACCAACTCGCATGATAACAATGAGTCATTTTAATTGTTGTACTAAAAATTGAATAACAAGGAGAATTCTACATCTTAGCAATGCATCTCAAAAATTTAATAAACTTTTACTATGATTTCGAGTACGTGATAAATTAGACATAAATTTATTACAAGTCATTGTTGTTCGATTAAGGATATTATTAACATTAACTCGATAAAACACGTAATTCTCGTGGGTTCGACACTTAATTTATAATTTTATTACTTGTTTACGATCTCGTTCACTCGTGGATTTTCAAAGGATCAGTGAAGATTTGTTGTTGTATGACCCAAATTCCATGTGATTTGGTGTTCGGTTGAATAAAAGAAGTTTAAAGAGTTTTGACTTTGGGAGTCTTAATTAATAAAAATCAAATTTCATCAAGGATTTGGAGTTTGACTTGAAAAGGGACTTTGAGACGAAGAAAAATACCTTGGAGATATGATTACCCAAAGTGGGCACCGCAGCGCCTGAAAGAAAAGAGAAATAGAAAGCCTAGCGCCGCAACACTTTTTCCCAATTTTATGTTTTCTTCTTCATCTAGAACTCCAAAAAGAGGCTCCTATATATATTACATATTGTTGTATCTCCATATACACATTAAAACAACATCTTGAGAATTAGAGAGTTTTGATTTCAATTGAAAGTATTGAGATCTTGATATTGTAAACACGTTCATTATTGATTATAGTGAAATTCTCTTCCTTTGCCCGTGGGTTTTTCTCATCTTGGGTTTCCACATAAATCTTGATTTTCTTATTTTATTCTTGTTTATTTCATTATTACCATTATCTTGCGATCAATTCATAACAGGCCTCATAGATTTTCTTACAAAGGGCCATGGCAAGAAACAAATGGATTCCCAGAAGATGAACTTCTGGGATCTGATGGCTTTGGCAGAGTATACAAAGGATCACTGGCAAATGACACAGAGATTGCAGTTAAATGCATGGACCAGGATTCAAATTAAGGGTCGAGAGAATTCATGAAAGAAATCTCTAGCATCTGAAGGTTTCCGCCTGAAAGGTTGGTGCAGGAAGGTCAGGAGTTGATGCTTGTATATTACTACCTTCCCAACGGCAGCCTTTATCCGGACACTTGAATGGCAAGGCCGAGTTCGTGTGCTCCTGGATGTTGCAGAAGGCATGTGTTGTCTACGTCTTGCTTTTGGAACCAGTTGGTTTTCCAACGTGACATCAAGTCCAGAAACATATTGCTAGATTCCGCTTTGCACGGGATATTAAGGGATCTCGGCCTTGCCAAACTTTAGAGAGAAGAGCAGGCACCAACAGCAACTCACGTAGTAGGAACCTTGGGTTACATAGCTCCAGAGCTAGTGAAATCAGGTCCAACTATGGCCAGTGACTTTCACAGCTTTGGGGTTGTCATGCTGGAGGTGTCATGTGGAAGATGGTCTACAGAAATACAGTTAGACGATACACTAGGTTTGGTTGATTGGGTGAAGAAGCTGAATGAAGAAGGTAGAATTGATGAGGCTGTAGACTGAAGAATTTCAGGACATCACAACAGATTGAAATGGGGCTTATCATGTTGTGATCCCAACCCTCAAATTCAGCCATCCATGGAAGAAGCAGTGGCAATCCTTGTAAGCCTAAATCTGCAGGCCTCCAAAATCTCATGCTTAGAGCTTCAGCCAAGTTACACTAATAGTTCTTCTGACGACACATCTGCAATCTTGTTGTCATCCGTAATCACCAAACCTAGTCCAAGAACATAACATGACTCGTTCATTTGCTCGTTTTTGTATATGTTTATCGAAGTGCTTCTATAATCATGTTAATTTATTTCTAATTAACGACAGAATGGAAGCAAGGCACTGAAATATTCGGTTTGGTCAAAGAACGCTACTTCGGTACTTCGTTATAGAAAGATGTTCCCCATTGCTTTTATTGAAACAGTACAAGGTTGATGCCTAAAAGAGAGCTGGAAATTTGTTTAGATGACAGAACTATAACAGACAGATTAATTCTGGTATAATAATTTTTATTGACTGTTTTTGTTACCTATAGAGAAGGGACAGTAAAGGAGTTATAACAGCTCTTTTATATTTTGCTTAAAAGCTCAAGTTGAGGGCTTCGACAAAACAAGCAGAAAATTACGATGCATTGAGACACAACAATCAAACTAAAACAGGATCTTTTATTCTACTTTCGAATCCACCTATGCAAACAACATAGGAAGAGTGCAAAACAATCTTGAAAACTCTTTGGAAAAGATAATCAGCATTTGACTAGTATCAAGATATCTAAATATCAGATAATAATATACTAAAAGGACATCAGAATCCAGTAACTAAGGAGATCAAACAGTGGGATTTCGTCAATTTTGAGTCGACTATAAACTATCAAATGATGGGATTTCGTTGATATTGAGTCGACTATAGTTCCTCATGGAGATAGCTCCTTTATGGAATTTAGACTCGGCTCCCAATCAACCTTCCACATTCTTGCCTTCTGAATGGGGGGTACAAATTGCTTTTTTTCAGCACATTTTTCTCGAAAATAATTAGACCAATTGTCTTTAGGAACATGGAAATCCTCGGCAGCACAAATAGTGTATTCTGAAAAATTCTCTCCAACACCTTCAGTTTCTTTAGAATCTACGATTGGCTCATCAGTATCAGCAGGTCGATTAGCTTTGTATTTACGTTTCAATTTCTCAACGGTACTAGACCGGACGACGAAGTACTTATTCCCCGGTACCAGCATATCATCAGCCGATAAAACTGATTCATGGGGGCACGTGAAGATATGAGGCTGAGTGATGCACATTCCGGGGTACTTCTGAATCAATTCAGAGGCAGGAATTGCATTTGGATACAGCTCTATAAGCCCACCAGCATGAACTATCCGAACACTAATATCCCTTATTGATGGGCTTACGCTGAATGAAAAATTTTCCCTGTCGGACTCTCTCTTTCTCTTGGATTCAGAGTCTAGTGACACACAAGACCGAAAGCACGAACACATCTCTTCAGGATTGTCTGCAAAAGAGCTCCTAAATATATATAGTTTTTAGAATAATGATCAGACGAACGGCTGGAATTTCACATATTAAGCACTGTCTCAGATAGAACAAATTGATAAATCCAAAGCTCAGCACATGAGCTATATCAGACAAGGATTAGTTCTTCGATTTCTCCTCCAATGCGGAAAAAAACAAAAGTCAACCACGATCAAGTAGAAAATCATATACTTTGTTTGCAAGTGACACATGAACTTAATCCTTTGCCAGCTTTATAGACACGTCCTAGAGCTAAAATATTGTACTTTACGAGTGGAGAGAAAACCGCTGGCTCTTTGTTCCGCAAGTCCAGTTGTTTTTTATAACAAAAGATTGTTTTTACATTTCTTTCCAACTATAGAACATGGTATACACTATCTGGTAAGAGGTCCCTTTCTAAGAAAACCACCATCAAATTTGTTTTGGGCTTCAGGCATCTAAAGTAACCTGAATGCATAGAGCATGTTTGTACACAGTAGCGGACACTGCAATACTTGCGATTCAGTTGCTATAGATACTCGAAGTCTATTTTATCTGCAAATCCATCATTTTTCGAAGTCTATATTTTCTTGTTTAGATTGTGTCGCCACTCACCAGACCAAAGGACCAAATAAACTTAGAAAGGACGATGGGGTTTTACGCCAATGTGTCAACGTCACTCTGAAGTACATTGTACTTGAGTTTTAAGATGATTATTAGAACATGCTTGATACTCTACTCGACAATACCAAACATTAAAATAAACAAGATTTTAAGTTTTTTTTCTTAATCTTGCACCATTGTCCAATCTTTATATACGATACTTAGAATTAGGACCTAGCAAGAGCACGACTTTCCACGACTCGCTCACTAAAGCCATTACCTTGAGTAGCTTAGGAGAAACTCATCAACAAGCCCACCGAGAAAAACCAAGCATTGATCCAGTTGCATTACCTACCTATTAATTGAATAGAAATCTGATGATTAAGAAAATACAACTTCAATTAAGAAGTGTACATTGTTTAATGAACTTCAGCTTCTTGTTATAGATCTCGGAGAACTAACAAGAAAAGTAGATTTTCCATTTCTGCTCCCTTTGTTTAGTGATTGTAAGAGCAAAATGAAGAATGGATTTGCTCTTAATTCGAAGGGTTCTCTCATGGTAGTGAGAAAGGTTATAGTTCATCAACCAACGTTGCCACATAAAGCCTTGGGTCAAGGGGGAGTCGAGCATGGACATAAGGCTTCGGCTGCAACTATATTTCTCACGGTTCATCAACCAACGTCGCCAAATAAAGCATTGGGTCAACGGGGAGTCGAGCATGGACGTAAGGCTTTGGCTGCAACTATACCACTTCACCGACGGTATCTGAATATTTTATGCCACGACTCGACATGCCTTGATTCCTTAAGATCAGACAATGTCGAAATGGAATAGGAAATAGTCGAAGCATCAAGTTTAAAACTCAATTATATATCACATAAGAAATATCACATCTATTGCAGATTTAATTTAAGCAACCGTCAAAAGCCTACATACACATACAGAAAGAACCGGATACCGATACAAATGTGCGACAACCATTAATATATGCATCAATCAATCTACTCCGCGTCTAGATTTTCGTCTATCCATAAGAACAGTGGGGAGCTATTTTCAACTGTATCGATCTATCTGCTCCAGTCATAAACCATCACATTGTGCTTTAGGTTTCTGCAGTGGTCAAACCTTCCTCCAAACACGGTCTTCAAGCACAAAACTTGGTCAACTTCAAGCTCTTCTTTTGAATCATTGTTTCCGACGAACAGGTGATCTTGATCTTGACCTCCCCCTGAAAATTGGGTTCAATTAGTTCATGATATCTTGAACATTCAACAGAGCTACAAACTTGTTTCACCTGACTAGCATATCGATAGACACGTCTCAAAGAACAAAAATTTAACCAAAAACACGAGTAAAATACCTGGTGGTCTCAAGAGAAGAGTAGGGAGAATGCCTGCGTTGAGAATGCTTGCTATGGGGAGACCGCGAAACTTGTCTAAAACGAAAACATTGAATACTAACCCAATGAGTTTAAAATATAATTTCTCAGCCTTGAATAAATCCAGATTCTAAAAGAATCAGCTTTCTGGAATAAATAATTCTTCTCAGGTGGTACGACAATTGTATATAGGTAAATGCTGTACACTGAAAGTGACCACAAGTTTCTCTTATTTAATAGCACACATAAGCCCCCTATTAAGTGAAGTAGCTTTTCTTGAGGGATAACTATCAACACCGCAAGATTCACAAACAAAATTTATTTTTTAATTACTAGATCAAGTGCAAGAATTTGAAATGAATTGATGATCTAAACTCAGAAGTCAGACCAACAATGAGGAGATAAGTTAAAATCCTGTTCTCAACACTAACATATAATTTCTTTCTTTTGAGGTTTACAGAAAATGAACTTGGTTGATCATGATAACTTGTGCTTTACTCGTGGCAAAAAAAGGTTCCATCACTATATGCATATATTTATTACCATTACGGTGAACTGAAACACCTTGTCTTTAACTGCCAAGTAAGCTCTGGCTACCACATTAAATCTAGATTATCCTTTTGAGTTTCCTCCCCCAAAAGATAAAAGGTCTGTCACAGGTCTGTCATGGACAGGATCTATCGTTGTCAAGCCATGTTGAAATCATAAAAATTCTCAGAAATTAACCACTGTTGCAGGACAATTTATGGATGTCTGGCACTTTACATGAAGCACTTTGGAGTAAACAAATGAGACAGGAGACTGAAGAGATTTAAATTACAGTACAAGGGAGTTTTAGCAATAAAATGAATGGTTCCATGAAATCCCGTAATATGGTTATTTCACATATGTGTAATAATACCATTCATACTATTTACCCATATAAAAAGGAAAATGTTTCTTTTCGAAGGAATAAGTTGTAAAAGACCTTGATTTTGATGCCATAAGACCCGAAGCTATGCTAATCGAAAGTGCAGAATTGGAAGCAAGACTAGCAATCACAATATAAATTGACAAGTAAAGAAAGGGTGGCAAATGTCTTCAAATGATTGTGCATTTCTCATGATTGAAAAAATAAGCGATTTCCAGCTTCACACGATATCTCGTTCTTAATTTTCTCTGTCATACAACCTTCAACTGAGCATCAACCTTGAAGCATTGTGCCTCCTGACCAAACCTCAAACGACAAGCATAACACATTCTACAGTCACAGACAACCACCCCCACCGGGAAGAAACAAATATAAGCGGAAGTCCAATTACATAAAATTCGCCTACATAATTCTAGTAGGGATATTGCAACCACTAGGAGATTGGAAATAGTAACTATTTTAACCCTACACACTTCTGCCTCCAGTTCGTCATGGTCTGACTGTCAACATTAAAAGCAACATTTTGGAAAATAAAAGTTGACTGTACTGAAATAATGTATAAGCGTTGTAAGAAGCAGAAGGAAATTGGTCACCTGCCTAGAAGATGGTCCATGCTCTAGGATTCTCGAAGTTTTAAACCATCTTTTCATGGAAGGTTGCAAACATCACAAACATATATCCTCATATTCTTAATCACATAAAATATAGTTCATTGTGCAAAGGATGTAATGAGATGCAAAAATTGTGGAACATGGCGATAATTGGTAATAAGCATACATATTTTCTAGTTTCACAAAAGCTGCATGGCTCTACTTAAACATGTTCTCTCATGACGTGAATTGGAGAGAGTCCTTGAGACAAATTAAATATTAAGCCATTGTTTGATTCCTATTATTTACAACATTCATTTTTGTCTCTGTTCTTTTCAACCACACATTCTTCAATAAAATAATATTAAACGCAAATTCAAAACTTTTCTTTATTTTTTAATCATACATTTTCCATCAATTTACTATTCTAAAATGCATTCTCAAAAGAAAACGGGCTCAAACATGAAGTAAACTATCCCTCTGATACTGTAGAAGCAAAAGAAAGTTTTTTTTTTTCAGGTGTTGGAGGTTGATAAGCTCAAGAAAATAGCTAGCATTGTAACAAACTGGTTCCATCATTCTACAACAATTTTCAGTAAAAGTCGAAATCGACCTTACGAACAATAAGAGCAGCAAACAACGAACTCAATGTCATTAACAGTTGAAATTGTGCCAAGAAGCTTAAAGGGAATTGAAAAACAGTTCAGCTGAGGATCCTAAAAGGAGTCATATATTGTGAAGAAGAAACGAAGCTTAAAGGGAATTGAAAAACAGTTCAGCTGAGGATCCCAAAAGAAGTCATATATTGCGAAAAAGAAACCAGGACTCGAGCATAGAATTTGGAGCCACGAATAAATAAATAAATGATCTGACTTCTAAAGAAGACAAACATCCTACCATACAGATATGTAAGTGTGATTATCATGCTACCAGCAGATTATGCAAGCACAGAGTAAAGTTTGCTAACACCTGAAGAATAGTAAAAGTCACAATATGGCTAAGCATCCATATGGTTCCATAGACTTGTTTCAATAATTCCAATCCAGAGAAAAATTGATAGCTTTGCATATCTAATGTACTAATTATCATTTCAACAATCAACTATACCATAATGATACTATGATACCCAGAACCGTAAAAATATTAGCTAATTTCATTCTTTTAACTAGCTAGGAAGAGTTAAAAGCAGGTAATGGTGTCAATTATCCCAAAACTATTTCCTTCGAGATAGGTGAACAGAAAAGGAAAAGAGAAGGAACAGAAGAGAGGAAGCAACTATGAGGGTTTCAAGCAACATGAATACCTGTTTAAAAAATGACACATCTTATTCTAATTTAACTTACTATGAAACATTCCTGATTTGGTCTTATTTTTTTATCCCATCTTCTTTAGAAGTCTACCAAAATACTTTAAAAGAACAAAAAAAATGTCCAAAAGCAAAACAACAAAAATAAACAGAAATTAATAAAGGAGGTTATCAGGCAGAGTAGCACCTTTTTCTTGACCTAACAGGTGATGGTGATTTACGTTTTCTTGGATGGTGCAGTTTCCTGCTTCCCACAAACAAATATCATAAGCAACTACATTAAAGGTTATAAACAAGAAAGAACAGAAAGTAACATGAGAACATACCTTTTCGAATCATCCGTGGACTCATCAATTGAATTACTAGCATGACTAACCACTGATTTGTCCTTGCTCTCTCTACCCCTACCATCAACAGAAGACGAACTATGCTGCTTGTGTCTGCTAGAGTCACTTCCATTTTTATGCCTAGATCTTTCCCTTGGTTCACCTTTTGTCCTCTCTCTTCTTTCATTATCTTCTTTACCACTACTTCTTTTGTCTCTATCTGTTTGCTGTCTACCCTCCTTGACATCAGACGGCGAGCTTCTTTTCCTTGATTCAGAATCTTTTACTTTTTCCCCGGACCTACCTAATCCCTTGACTTTATCTTTTGAGCCATTATGATCATCTGTCCTTTCATTTCTTGCATGCCTTCCTTCACGCCTTCTATGGTCTTCATCTCCCTTCTTATCCACTCTTTCCTTGAAACTTTCTACCTCCCTATCATAGTCTTTCCCTTTATGGTTCTTTTCATTGTTACTTCTATCATTCTTATCTGACCTATGCCTCGTATGTTGGCTTGGCAAATCATCCCTCGTTGACTTTCTGGCATCTGAATTTCTATCTTGTCTTTCAACTGTCTCAACAGCTTTTTCAATTACAGTCTCCTTGGACTTGGATGTATCATAGACATGTTGCATCTCATTTTCTGCAACTCCAGATTCTGTCTCGTAGCGATGATTATCACTGGATGCCAACTCTCTAGCTGCCCTATCATCATTCAACTCTGTACTTGCAGCACCGAGATTTGCCCCAGCAGTGTTTGCCTTCATTTTGTCAATACCATCAGTCTCCTCATTGGCGAGAATATTACCACGTTCATCACTTTCTTCCTTCGAACCACCATGCTGAACAGCCGGTGTTTCTACCAAAATCTTGCTTGAAATTGATTGCTCATGTGCAGAGTTTTCCTTTGACTCCAGCTTACCAGAACTTTGGATCTCCTCCTCTTCATCATCTGAGTCATAATTAGCAAGACCAAGTACATTCCCAGCAGTAGCAGACTTTTCAATAGCATCCTCAGACACAGTTTCCTTTGTCTTAGCCGGAATCAAAACCTTCGCAGAGGCCTTGGGTGTTGAACCAGCTGGTGTAGTTGGTAATACTTTGTGATTTGATAAGTCAGTTTTGTGGTCAACTATGAAAAGACATGATAAGTTACAATCAACCCAACTAACACACTGAGACTAAAAGAAGAGGAAACAGCTGGAATTTGAAGGAAAAGAAAAAGAGTTCACAGGTCAATCACCTTCAACTGTGAGACCATCTTCATTCAAAACTTTGGTCGCAATTTCATCAAAAAGTTCATCAGTAACCTGCCACAGAACTTAATAGTCAAAAAAATTGCACAAGTCTAATGTGTAGTTCATTAGTATCTGAATGTCAGCAACCTTCAAAAGCACTTCGGTTAGAACACGCTTTATTTCCTGGTTAATAGCTGCAGATCTAGCAGCCTCCACCACATCCTACATAGATCATAGGTATCAGTTCTGCACAAAGTCCTAAAAATTGACCATACGCTAATATAGAAAAAAGAAAAGAATATGATATAACTATTTTATCAAAGACAAAGAAAATGCAATAGAAAGCATTATGAAAATTAGAGATTCTAGTTAACAACAAAAGGATATGGGATAGAAATTCCAGATTCCAAAATTACACTCAAAGCGAGTGGTAAAAAGTTTGGACAAGGTGACGTACACATATGAAACTCATTTCAAACACATGGCACAAAGTAGAAGGGGGTGGACAATAATTAGAAATATTAAGGCTTGGTATCAAACATGATTTCTTTTTCTTACACTTTGTGCTAAGATATGGTTTGATAAACAAGGAAAGATGGGGAAATAGCTACAGAAAATATGCCAATTCATGCTCTTGAAAAAGTAAATAATACCTCCTTCCCTCTAGCTATAAATAATCAAACAAACAGAACCTAAGAGATAGAACAGATAGAACACAACAACCTCATCCTCATCCTCATCTTCAGTTGATCTTGAAGAATCAATGCTTTTGCTGTCTGCTTGATCTCCCTTCCTAGAAGATTCATCAATAATTTCTTCTCCCACGGATTGGGAATCCTCTTTAGGGATCTCTGGGACAGAATTCGGGATGGAGGCTTTATTCTTAATTATTTCCTCCCTAAGCCAATTAGGAACCGAAGCCTGTAATTCAACAGAATCATGAACATGACGTGTGTAATTTTCAAAGCATCGAAGCTGGCAAACCTAACTGAATTTACCTTTCTAGGCCGCTCAGAAACACCAAATGCATCCCCATTAAAAGCTATTGTAGGATGAAGAGCAGACCCGGTGCCAACACCAAAAGATGCACCCACTACTGGGCCTGTTGGCTGGAAACTCACCCCAGTTGGAAACATTGGTGTAGAATGTCCAGATGCTGGAGAAGGCACAACCATTGAATGATCAACCTGTGAAGTACGAGACGAGTCAAATGACAATTAGTACATTGTTACAAGGTTTCACAACTACAATGGATCTGTCATATTTATATCAAAAACCTGTGGTCCTGATGGAATAGTTGGAGGCACTGAAGGATAAACACCCTCTGAAGAAGCAGCAGCTGGAGCCCAAGCATAATTTGTAGGTATAGCTGCAACAGGATCCACAGTTCTTGCAGGACCTCCTGAAGAATGAGTACGGGATTGCATATATGGGTCCTGATTATGATTAAAATGAGGTGCGAAATTCAAAGGCTGATCGCTTAGATCAGTAGCAGACTCTGCCTGTTGGCCACCAAGTGGATAATGAGGTTCCTCCATCCATCCAGACCTACCAACTGCCGGTGTCAGTGGTTGGACATACAGCTGTGTAACTGAGGCAACCGGAGGCAGCGATGAAGACCTATTAAACTCTCCATTTATATCTCCAGCCTCTTTACCTGTAATAAAGACAAAAATCAGAAAGCTAAAATATTTAATAATCCAAGATTCCTCCTTTCTTTCACACTTACAATGTCCTATTGGAATCAATTCCATTTATCTAAATTACAAGGAGCATATTTCCAGATTATGTGATACTTAATAACCACAATTATGACACTATTTGGTAGTATTGCCAATTTGGACTCGTGAATCCCCCACTGTAATTATTTTACAAAAGAGGGTGCCAAAATAAAAAATAAAAATCACACTATACTTTTGTTGTTTTCTAGAGAGGAACTTCAAAGAAATATTTTAGTTCATAATGTGAGCACTTTCCTAGTTATTTAGTACATAAATGTTCTCAATAGCTTTATCCTCAGAAGTAATTAGTCAATTATCCATCTTTCAGAAATGTCTTAACATCAATTTATCTAATCACAAAGATAAGGAATGCAAAGTAAAGAGAAATGCTGAATCAAGTGCAAGACAAATTTTGCACTATAAAATCCTCGAAGTCTAAAGCTAATAAAAGAAAAAAAAATCTAAAGCAATGAAACTTTAACAACAGAACATGTCATGTTCAGAAAGAGAGGTTCTTAAAGAAAGAAACCATTTTAAAGAAACAAGAGCAAAAACTCAACTATATAATCAAACTGAAAGGAACCTATCATTTTATAAGGAACTAGAAGGCCAACTAGAATATAAATCAGAAGAAATGATGGAAAGAGCAGCATCAAAGACAAAAATTTAATTAGTATAATCACATAACATGGAAGCTATTTCTTGAGCATGAGCTTTGCATGCAAAACCCATATGCTAATTAAGTTTTTACCTGCGACGGAAGAATAACTAGAAGGTACCTCCTGCTGATGGACTAATGAACTAATAGACGCTTGCTGCGTGAATGGCATAGTATCGCCAGACAAGTTTCCATCTCTAGCTGTATAGGGTGGTAAATGCAGGTCCATGGCATAGGATGATTGTCCTGAGCTGATGAATGAAGGCTCCTGTGATTGACCTAGAGGAATTCTATGTGGAGGTGCAGTTCCAACTGGATAATGTAGATAGCTAGATGCAGACGCTAAAGGCTGCAGCCCATCTATAAATTGAGTATCAACAGACGGCGAATATTGATCATGAAACTTATTCTGCTGTTCTGGTCTTCCTAGTGGAGTAACCTGTGACTGAGGAAGCTGATTTTCTGTTGCAGCTTTTGCAGCTGCCCATGCTCTAGCTTTTGTGGCCCAGTCTTCTTCATTGTTATATGCTACCATTCCGGAAACAATGTAAATTCAGCATACACATATAAAGAAAGATTCTATTAGATGCAGATTCATGCTAGCAGGAACTCCATGTATTATAAGATTAGAAATAACACCATTCTCAAAATAATCCTTTTGAAATAAAATAAGAAATCAAGAGGCCCAAGATCAAAATGATCAACAGTAAGATTCAGCAACCAAGATTGGAATAAGCATCAATTTTTTTTTTTTTTTATAATGGGATTTCAAGAAAAAACAAGTTTTGGTTTTAATGGCAGTCAAGCCACTGAGTAAGAAAGAAGGTGAAAAGCTAAAGTGATGAGAGAGAGAGAGAGAGAGAGAGAGAGAGAGAGAGATGCTTGTTAGGTACAAGATAGGAAAAGCTATGCAGTGTCCCACAATCTTAAATATGTCAAACATTCAAGTCACTCACTGCAGCTTTAAGTGCTATATCTAACCTGATAATAAATAACAATTAATTAGGCAGACATATGTCTTACCTCAAACAATTTAGCAACATTTTCTAAGAGAAATGAACTTTAAAATGTTACGTATTAGACTATTATTCACCCTAATCTAGGTCAAATACTTAGCATAGTTCCCTCAAGCAATATTCAGACCTAACCTTCCATTCAGTGTGACCATGGTTTAGGGTCCCATCGCACAATAGATTGAAATCAAAATTTTCTTATCAAGTGGTTACTCAAGGAAGCTGCAACTTATTAGAGAAAGTTTCCAAACAATATTGTGAATGCAAATTGTCATCTCTACTGCTATTCGTATTTTGAGAGCATTTGCATTGACTCATAGATGAGTAGGGCACCTATATCCCACCCACAAAGAGACACCGCAAAAAGGGCAACAAAACAACCCATTAAATAAAATTCATTTATTCAATGTAAGTCTGTTTGCTGCTATGATTTGCACTTCCTTTCTAAGAATGCAACAAAAGATCAACATGGTAGACTTCCAAGATTTCCCCCTTTCCCAGTCCATTTAACTGTGGCTAGGGATGAACAAAAACTAGTCAGGTCCAGTTTTCTTCAGATACTGATTCCGGACCAAACCGGTTTCAAACGCAAATTTTACATACGGAACCAACACCATGGGTAAGGCGGGAGCCAAATCGCTCCATAACTGACTGGTTCAGTTCAGTTCAGTTCAATCTAGATTCGGTCTTATTACTGATGGCACTGAAATGTGTTATTATTATTTTTTTAATTTCCACTACTAATGTTCCAGCATTCTCTTTCCTCAGAAGGAGAAAAAGGTCAGAACCATTACATTCTAATTGGAGGAAATATACAAATGTTTCTCTCAAATATCAACGGCCCAAACCATAAAAAGGAAGATTAAAAATCATTGAAAGAAATAACAGGACTAAAAGACACTAAAATAATGAAAATGCCTTTTGACAAAATAAATATCAAATATCAAATCAGGTAAAAAGAAAAAACCACTCTCGTCTTCTTAACTAATTTCCAAGAGAACCTACATAAAAAATGCATGCAACAAAGATTTCACAAAAGAAACAAAAACAAGAAATTAGAATATTTTTGGAAACATGAATTGCATTACAATGACAAGAGTATATTCATCTTCAATCGGGAAAGAAATCACCAGCTATTTCTCGTGCATTAAAATATAAGCCGTGCGACTTTGGGTATTTACCTAGTTGAGTGTAGTTGAGGAGAAAAAAAAATGTGGAAGAAGAAAAATTGGAACTTCAATTACTAGGATTAAATCTCAGATTTCTCTATTTGCACCTATCAATTTTGAGAGAGAATTAGGATTGGCTCATTAAACGGTTGGCTGTACATCGATAACAGAAGATGGCAGTGGCTATTGTTTGAGGTTGAGTGTTGAGATCTGAGGATGAGAAACTGTGTGCAGGAAGTGTTGATGAAACTTTTGAAGATTCCTTTTTATTTATTTTTTTAATGAAGTTTGGTGAATCCGGTTCTTAAATCGGTTCTAAAGTAAAAACCAAGAGTAGGAACCAATCCATCTGGTCTAGCTAAAAATGCCCAAATTGAATCTCTCTTCACTGAACCTGTCGATTCTACACCCACCCTTAAGTGTGGACCAAAGAGGATAGGAGTGGAAGAGTTGGTCTTACAAGCCATAGTCACATAATCTGATTTTATTAAAATGACAACTACGAATTTACATGAAATGAGTAAATACAAAACCACATGAACAAAAAGCAGTGTAGTGTGTATAACAGAGAACAACAGACAATGATGTTCCAAGTAAATTAATGGGCTATCTTCTGACCTTGGTATTCCCAATTCTGATGATGACCCCAGCTTGCATTCTCCCAATTCTACATTAAACATACATTAGTAAACAATCCAAAATTCTCCACCACAATAATATCCATGTTCAAAAAAAAGCATTTTTGGTAACAGAAGAAAGAACAAGAGAAAACATAGGCAAAAGAAACGCACATGTATGAAAATCAGTGCTTAAGCTAATTTGCGTATTTTTTTAAGGCACAGATGTGAAGGACCATCACCCGAAAGAAAAGTAACAAAATAAAGCCATGAAAGTTAATGAGTATAAATATAATTAAACAATGACTTATTTTTTTTTTATCTCTCTGAACAACTGAATCGCTTTGAATCATAATTCCACAAATGTGTAAAATGTGACAAATTGCAACAAGGCGGAAACTACAATACTTGCCAATTAACCAAAATATCCTTCAAAACAGGAAAGTTTTTACTCGAAATAAAGAATTAACAAATACCTGAGAGTAGGAATGCGGAACATGAGGAGGCCCAGGAGCGGGAAGATGCGCAGGAGGGTAGTGAGGATGAACGGGATAAGGAGGCTGGTGCGCAGGATATGGAGGGTAATGACTATGGTCGGAGGAGTGTACTGGAGGCGGCGGCGGGGGCGGAGGCGGAGGCCACTGTGGTGGAGGAGAGGGCGAGTGTTGGAGTTGGGGTTGGTAATGGAATTGGGGGGCAGAGTAAGAGGACCACGGCTGGTTGGGCGGAGGTGGTGGTCTTTGGTAAGGATCTGCCGTAGACGGCGGCGGATGAGGAGGGGGTGGCCTCATGTAGGGGCGGGACTGCTGGTATTCCATGGGTTTAGGGTTTATTTGTGTTGAATTAATTAAAATGATTTTTCAGAGTGCAGGCGTGTAAGCATCTCTATGTATAGGAGGGAGAGAACAACGGAACGACGATGGAGGAATCGGGTGGGGATTTTTCAGAAGCCGGGTTCGCAGTATTATTGTCCGAATCCGAAAAAAAAAAATTCACAAGTTGTTGGTTCGGATTTTGATTTGGATTTGGATTTGGATCTGGATTATTCCTATTAAAACTTAAACATGAAAATGAAGAAAAAATTTCCAAGCCCTTGAGACATTGGCATCAAATATAATAAAAGTTTATTAAAGGATGAAAATTATCTCGTACTTCTTTTTACCCTTACAATGCAGATTTTTTTAAAAAAAACTCTTGAAAAATTACAGATGATTTGTCAAAAAAAGTTACACATTGGAGCAACTGACTCCCCTTGATAATGTAAAAAGTACTATGATGTCATGAAAATGTATCGACTACGAAATTTATACAATCAATATTTTTTGTTAGATATTTTTTCATCATTAATGATGCCCTTTCAACGTGTTTAATTTACGTAGAACATTGTGTCACCATACGAACGTGTCTAGATTAGTTTTAAATGCTAATTTTGTTAGATATTTTTCATCTTTTGCATATTCATCTTTTGTTTTGCGAATGTTTTGTCGTCCCGACTAATGTTTGCCGCTACGTAATGGGGATCGACCTGCCCCTTTTTTTGTTAGATATTTTTTCATCATTTTACATGTTCATATTTTGTTTTGCGAATGTTTTGCAGCCCCGACTAATGTTTGCCGCTACGCAACGAGGATTGACATACCCGGTTTTTTTGTTAGATATTTTTTATCATTTTGCATGTCATTTTTTGTTTTACTAATATTTTGTAGCCCCGACTAGTGTTTGTCACTATGCAACGGGGATCGACCTGCCCGGTCAGGTCGAGGGGGTCGAAGGGGTAGCCTCCCGTGGGGACTTGGGGGCAACACCCTCGAAAGAGAATTTATTTTTAGAAGTCTTTAAATATGTATATTTCTTCCAACAGATGCGTTCATTCATTTCAAATGACACACCTATTCAAATGGTGGACTCCATTTCTATATAATTCTCATTTGCAAAACACATTGAAAAATTCGTTATGTTCTATTCTTCTCTCTTTTCTCTTAGCATAATCAGTTTCTTTATAGAATGTTTTATTGGTTTAATCAAATAGTCACAGTTTGAATCAAACGCCTCCATTGTATTCTGATTTTCTATCATACCACAGTCGAGACTTTGTTGGATATGGGAGAAACATCTCTTAAAAGATAACGATTATCGTGCCTTGAAGTTCATTAGTTCTTTCCAGATTTTCTTACATATTTAACACTCTTAAAAGATAATGATTTTCGTGTCTTGGAGTTCATTAGTATTTTCAGATTTTCTTACATATTTCCCAATATTTTTCGATTCAAAAAGTTCAAGCAGCCACTACAATTCTTTTTCTTCATTCTAAAAAGTTCAATTCTTGTTGTGGAGCGAGACACAATGATACAATTGTTAATACTAAAGTTTCCTTGAAATTCTATATTGTTGCCCCCTATATGATTGGTATAGCATGAAATATACAATGATCCTTGAAGTAATATCGCGTGGATCTAGAATCATGCAACAACGTTAACTTGTCGTCTAGTCAGCCATGCATACAAGCCGTCCTCGTGGAGAAGCCCTGTGTGGTTGCCCATCCGAATGATGGGGAGCAATTAAAGAGACACTCTAGCAAAATTAAGATAAAATTATGTACTCCAATTTCTTAATACTACATAGTTATGTATTTAATTAGTATTTTTTTGAGTCGGTTCGTTTTAAAAATAGAAGAATTTAAGTATTGTTCACAATTAAATTATGAGCTCTAGCATGCCTCACTCGTGACCAAATAAGATTCATTAAGAAAAAATCATTTGTCCTCGAATTGTAATTTACTTCTTGATGTTTTAATTTTATCATCTTTTACGATATTTAGTCTCCATTATCTCAAGTCGTGTCTTGAAAATTTTTAGTTTAATATTCTTCATTGCACAAATATTGGCAACTAGTAACGTGTTAGGAATAAGTATTGAAAGGGTATATATGGGAATTTTTCTTAAATATAATTAAAAATATTATTATGAGTATAGTCAAACCGAAACCAACAGGTTTGAATTTGATTCCAATAATTACAAGGACTCAAATAATTTTATTTACGAAATACTCTAAATATAATAGGTGATTCTGAGTATTGAAATACTTGGACCGACTCACCCGCGCCCAAGCCTAATTGACATTGTGTTTGCTTTCTGCATCCAGATCACTAGTAGCTTCATCAAGGATCAAAATGCTTAGATCTCTCAGAAACGCCATTGTAATAGCGATTTGTTGCTTTTGTCCTCCACTAAGTAGATCAACATCAATAAGTGTTTGCTAGCCATTGAGCAAAGGTAAGATCAAGTCATGGGCAAAGGCCTGCTCGGCAGCCCATTCCACAACCTGCTGACTAACATTTCGAGAATAACCATGTCATGAAAGTGAAAACGTGAATTTCTAAATTCCTTGGCTTTTCTAATCAGTTTACTCATATTTCTTTTCTTTTCTATTCCATCAATAATTTAAGTATAACATGCACTGATGCACAAGAACAGAAGAGGATAAATGGTTTACCTCGCCAGTTTAGGCTTGTAAAGGCGGATCAGAAGATTTACTACATTGCTCTTCCCACCAGCAATAAAGGCCAATCTAGGAAAAAAGTAGATCTTAGGTCATCAAAGAAAACTCCATTTTTATTTACTTTGATTCATGGCCACATATCTTTCCGGAGGAATGGGAAGCTTTATTCCTGAAGTGGGCCTCTATTCATTTCTTGATATTCCCATATATTCAGAACTTAAAAACAAAGGAAGTCTATACTTACTACATAAACTGCTTCTCCAGGATGCACTACAAAGTTGAAATGTTGTAATACGGGCACCTGTTCACATCCCAAGAAAATAGATCTTTTAATTACATAGTAAGATCACATCAATGATTGATTGGGAAAAAAGGATAACAATTTTTTTTTTTCTTGTCATAGTCCAAATGCAAAAATTTTACATGTCGATATCTTCAAGCCTCACTCACTACAGGATGATTCAATGCCTTAAGGCCATACATCTTACAATAACTCTGCACTCAACACCAGGTAAGCTAACATGCATTAATACAATGGTAACTGTAACTAATAGACCAACTACAGTTGTCTCTCATGCTTTAGAAAAAACGAACAACTGAATAAGTAACGTGTAAGAGTTTCTAACTGTACTATGTTAACTTGTGGACTATATTACGATGAAGGAGCGCTATCAAGGTGCTAAGAAGAAGCATTTTTCAAGTACTTTAAGTGTAATATGTGAACTTATACATTTGAAAAATATTATGAGGGAACCTCATCTCATTTCTTAAAGGGTAGCGAAAGCTTACATCCTGAAATTCAACTGGTCCCATCAATCTTTGCAGCTTTGATCCTGCCATATATGAAGTGTCATAACCCTACCAAAATCTTTTATGTTTCTTCAGCACACTGATGAAGAAGAAGATTTGGCCCTTTTGACACGACTTTAGAAAATCAAAAGACATTTTTGAGACTAAAAAGTTGCTTTTGGACTTATTTGGATAATTATCTGAAAATGCTTTGCCTGGTTAGAAAAGCTTGCAGAGGAAGCAGGCTCAAGAAGCAGAAGTAGAAGCCTTGCCAAACAAGTCCTTAGCCTTCTTCCATCTCCTAGGATCTTCACAAGAAAGGATACTCTCAGGAACAACTTTCCATGCAAAAGAAATTACACTTTTATATGCTTCTAGTGAAAATCTCTATAGGATTCTTATGCATCACTTGATTATGTCTCTAGTTAAAATGGGAACTTTTAATTTCATAACTAGAAACAAGTCATTCTAATATATTGAGAGCAAGCAATACCTATTTCTCATAATATTTAATTGTTTCCTCTAAGATTCCTTGAAATAGTTTTAGAATTAGAAACTTTTTGATATGTGTGAAATAGTTAAAATGGGAACTTTTAATTTCATAACTATGATGTTTCCATTCACCGTTTATTTTTCCGAATTCCCAGTTGAAACACAAAATTACGGTTTCGTTTATCGTGGATACGTTTACTGATTAACAAGAAAATTCCAAATCACTTCTAAGATTTTAATTAACTGACTTAGCCTCCATTTGACAAAACTTATACATCATTTATAAATGATCAAGCTTCATTTTTAATCTCACATTCATCAAACTGAATAAATAATAAGCTAATACGCTTACATAATCATTGATTATTGCTTCAGTTATTCAAATTATTATTGTTTTGATCCTTCAGTGTTGTGGAGTACAAACCTGAGAAAAGCGCAAGGACAAAACTATTCTTAAACACAAAAATATTTAATAAATAAAAAAAATATTTAAGCAACCAAGAGGCACTCTTATTGAATGTGTTGGATTTTGTATCGAAATTTGGTTGTGACCATTTTTAATGATTTAAGTGGAATTTATTATTTGGTGAATGAGAAATTAATTCAAATTTAAGTCGCTTAAACACTTGAAATTATTGGAAAATCGTGTAGAATATTGTGGAATATTCTAGAAAATGTGTAAATGAAAAAATGTGTCTTTTCATATGGAAGATCATGACCTTTGGAGATCATGGCTTTTGGTATGATTACTCTCCAATAATTATGAATCTTAATTTCAAGAGATGTGTTTCTTGATATTGTTGTGTCTTTTGACAAACATTTCCAACTACTATATATAAATTCTCGTGCTTTTGGATTGAGTACAATTCAAAGTGATAGTTCCATATCATTCTATTCCATGCTTACACTTTAGTTTGCGTAAAACACTTGTATCAAAATCATGGTTATGATAGAGAGAGAATTCCGTTCGAATTCGTTGGTCTAAGCCATTTGGAGTGCTCCTATGACTTGACATGGTCATTGTGTATTGAGAGATGAT